GCATACAGAACAGGGCTGGGGTTCTGCACCCAGGACAGGGATGGGGCTGGGGGTCCTGCACCCAGGACAGGGATGGGGAATTCATTATTAGCCTATTGTCCCTGTGGGACAGGGAGGGGGATTGTGCACCCAGGACAGGGCTGGGGGGTCATTCCTGTCCCCACCCCACATCCAGGACACAGCTGGGGGGTCATTCCCATCCCCACCCCGCACCCAGGACAGGGCTGGGGGGTCATTCCCATCCCCACCCCACACCCAGGTCAGGGCTGGGGGGTCATTCCTGTCCCCACCTGCACCCAGGACAGGGCTGGGCAGTCGTTCCCATGCCCACCCCGCAGCCCAGGGACAGAGGACACGCACCCGTTGTGCAGGGCGGCGCGCGGGTCCCGGCTGCTGCGCACACACACCATGAGCACGGCGAAGAGGCCAAAGAAGGCGGCCATGGCAAAGCCCATGCGGTACACGGCCTTGTGGCCCAGGAAGCTGCTGCAGTCCACRTTGGTCTGGACGCCCAGCACGGACCCGCTGCCCTGACAGAAGCCGGGGAGCTGCAACAGCGATGGGAGAGCGAGCGTCACCTCAGCACGTCCCGCTGGGGGTAATGGTGCAAGGAGGGGTCTGCACGGAAGATTCACTGATTCTGTCCAAGGTCAGCTCCTCCACTGTGAAGCCCTCAGGCTGCTCAGAGCAGATGTGACCACCCCTGGATCCCTGGGAGTGTCCAAGGCCAGGCTGGATGGGGCTGGGAGCACCTGGGACAGTGAAAGGTGTCCCCTCCATGGATGGGCTTTGAGGTCCCTTCCAACTCCATTCTGTGATTGCACACCCACCACAAACCCTGGTGCCACCCAAGACAGGCCAAACCACACCTGCTCCAACGCCACCTGCCTGGGGACAGCAGTGAGGTGACACAGCTGAGACCACCCAGCTGGTAGTGGAAAGCCAGGATGAACCAAACCTTTCCCAAAAGCCCAGCTCAGCTGGCAGAGCTCCTCTCCCTCCACCTCAGCTCCCACCTCCCCAATTTTCAAATCATCATCTGGATCCCAAAAATGGCATGTAGGAAACTTKCCTGGGAGACATCTGGGAAAAACAAAACAGTGCATTAAATGATCCCACTGCATTTTCCCCTCTGTGGAAAACCAGGGTAATAATGCATTCTCCCAGGGAGATATTCAGGGGAAAAAAGCAACAGAAACATGCAGTGACCCAAAAATTCCCTTTTTTGATTCAGCTGGGTTGTTCCTTCCCAGCAACCTCCGGGAGCTCTTTACCTTGTGCAGCTCCTTCTCCACGCCGGGGATGATCATAACGATGGACACGAGGGTGCCGAGGAAGAGGAAGAGGGTGAAGAGCAGGCGGGAGATGGTGGAGTTCTTGGCCGAGGGGCAGCAGCCGCAGAGCAGGCACGGGGCAGAGCCGCACAGACACGACACCTGCAAAGGCAGCAGAGCACACTGGAGGGGATGAACCAACCCCAAAATGCACTCTGGGGTTGGTCCTTGAGGAGATCTCCCCAGGAATCCACACTGTGGCTTGGGGCCACTCACCCCACACCCACAGGAACTCGTGGGAATGGCACCAAATCCCCAAAAAAAGCTGCTGAGAACCAAAAGAGCCACAGGAACAGCCTCAAAATGTCTCGGAAATGACACCAAGAGTCTGGACATGCCCTCGTGGGTTTTGCTCCATGCAAAGGTCCAGACAAACCAAGCCCTGCCCTGCAGGAGCCTCCTTTKTGTACAAAAGCGAGGTTCCCAAAATAATTTCGGGCTGCCCTTTCTGGGATGGGGAAGGTGCTGATATCAGCACCGTGGGGGAAGCAGCTCCTTCTGCTGTCCTCCCCCTCTCCAAAGGCCGCTTCACAGGCAGGGAAACTGAGGCACAGCCTCCCTGAGAGCCCCCAGCTTCCCAAATCCAGCACGGGCAGCGCTGCCAGGCGCTCCCTGTCCCAGGAGCTGTGCMCGAGATGGGGAATCCTGGCTGAGGAATCCCAAATTTACCCACMCCAAAACACGGGTGGGGGTTTCCTGCACAAGGACGAAGCAGAAACAACTTTACACATCTCTTTGAAACAGCCCTTCCTCTCCTGCGCCCAGGCACATCAGGGAGGAGAAGGGCTCTGCTCTCTCCCACTGTTGGGGGATGTGCACAGGTTGTGGGTTTGTTACGGCCACRTCCTTCCAAACCAGGCCCTGCAGTCGGTACTGATCAAAGACAGCTCAGCATCGACACAAATCTGTATTTCTCATGGCTGAAATCAGTGTGAAAAACAGACAGAGCACAAAACAAAAGCAGATGTTGGAGCTGCTGCATGAGCAGGATGGGGCCCGTGGCTCCCTCGGCACAAGCGGCCACTTTGAGGGCCCCAAATTGCTTGAGATGGCTTCAAATAYTGTTTCAAACATAAGCACAGCATTATTTGAGAAAAAAACCTCCTCCTTCCAGCCTTRTTCCTCTGATCTCATCCCAGTCCCACATCCCTGCCCCGTCACCAGCTGCGCTGAGCTGATGCTGCCCACAGGAGCTGGGTGGGTGAGAAATCCCACTGATCCCAGGGAAACCCCCTCCTGCTTCTCCAGGACCTGCCCAGGGTCATCACTTCATGTTTTCAACTTGGAAGCCCTTGAAAATGGCTTTCAGCTCGAGACTGCTTCATTTCCGCCTCATTAAATGCACCACGTGCAGCAGAGCGCATTAAAATGCGCCGGCATTACTGCATTTCCCTTCAAATTAAAAAAAAATAAATAGGGAACAACAAAAATCCCTTTGGATGCAGAATTTCTTTTGGATGCATTATTCCACTGAGGGAGGAAAGCACCTCAGTGCTCCATCCATGCCCCCAGCCCCTCTGCCTTCAGCAACAACTGAAACAAAAAGCACCAGTCACAAAATCACCAGATATGGCTCAGAAAATTGTGAGGTTTGGTGCTGTTTAAGAAGTTGGGGATTTGGGGTTTCAGTTACCCCACYCCTGCCATGGCAGGGACCCCTCCCACTGTCCCAGGTGCTCCCAGCCCCAATGTCCAGCCTGGCCTTGGGCACTCAAAGGGATCCAGGGGCAGCCACAGCTGCTCTGGGAATTCCATCCCARCCCCTCCCCACCCTCCCAGGGAACAATCCCTTCCCAATATCCCATCCATCCCTGCCCTCTGGCACTGGGAAGCCATTCCCTGTGTCCTGTCCCTCCAGCCCTTGGCCCCAGTCCCTCTCCAGCTCTC